AAAAACAAAGCTGGTGTCACTTTGTGTCTAGTTGGCTTCAAGCTGATCTAGAAGGGTGAGGTGGAAGCTCTAATGCAATGTAATGAATAATAAGAAACTAACTTGAAGTAGGAAAATTACTGCAGTTCTTGTTTTGAGAATTACCCCTAACACGGAGGATACTTGGACTGAAGGTGCCCAAAGGGTGTTGGTCAGAGCAGAGGATCAGCGTGGAGCTCTGTGCAAGGTGGGAGAAGGAGGTCTTGGCATCAGGAGGTTTAAGAAATATCGGTCCATGAGTGAGAAGTCCATGCCTAAGCCTGGACAGTGCTCCTTGCTTCAGCAAGAAGGCAGCTGCTGCCCAATCCAAAGGTACCTTCCCTCTGCTCTTAGAGACTTTCTCTGAGGGGTGATGCTCTTTAATCCCTGGAGGAGGACCTCTGCATAGGTGAGGCACCAGCTGGCTGTTTTTGAGAAGTGAAACGCATACATGTTTTGCAGTCAGACTCTCCCTTTTCAGGCTTAAGTAACAAAAACAGTTGTAGATGTGCTTCCAGTCTTCCAGCGTGCTGGGGTAAGGGTTTGGAAACTCCACAGTTCCTGTGCATGTGGCCTGCCCTGAGCAAGCAGCAGCGTTTGATGAGGCCATCATTTACTGTCATGGCTGATGCCTGTGGATAGCAGCGGCCCTGGGAGGTGATGAAGATGTGAGCTCATCCCACAGCCTCTTTCATGACTGCCACGACACCCAGCGCGGGGCAGGGAAGCCCTCTGCTCCATCCCCTCTCAGCTCCCAGCACCTGTGGCATGCTTCCCTGGAGGTCTTCCCATAAAACCCACCCTGCGGCGGCGGTTCAGACCAAGAGGCATGTTTTGAAAACAGGCTGTCCTTGCGTCAGTGGTGCGATTGGTACCAAGTACCCAGATGTACGCTGATCACAGTGGAGTTTTATTTTCCTCCTCATCAGCCAGCCGTGGGAAGGGAGCCTGGAGTGACTGCTAGCTGGCAGTAGTGCTGGAGTGAACCCAGGGAGGGCTGCTGCGGTTTGCTCAGCCTCCTGCAGGAGGGCAGCCCTGCAGCGGGTTAATGGCTGCTGCTGCCCCATGTGTGCCGGGCCAGGGTGGGCCTGGCCTGCGCAGGGTCCCCGGCAAGGGGCAGGGGCAGGGGCCGGGCCAGGCCCAGGCAGCCCCCAGCTGCCACCACGATGTCAATGGGTCCCAGGGGTGCCACCATGTTCCCCAGCTGTGCTCCCGCAGCCTTCTCCACTGCCCCAGGGGTGGGCCCCTGGCCTCTCCCCCTTGGTGCCTGCCATTAGTGGTGCCCTTGTCCTGAAAGAGGAGCTGTTGGCAAGCTGCCCTGGAGAAACACTCGCCGGCGGCCATAGCTTGGCAAAGCCTCGGCTCCCCTGGGCCTGCGCTCAGCTCTCCGCAAGCTGCCACGCCTCTGCCTCTGTGGGATGGAGGAAAAAAAATTCGGTAAGAGAACAGGCTTTCAGCATTAGCGGTTTGTTGTTGCTGAGGTGTTGTGATAAATAAAGGTGAGAAAGCTGTGCAAGCAAACTGCCAGTCCCTACCCAGGCCCCGGCTTAGGTGCAGCCCCCACTCACCAGCCATGCCGGGCGTAGTGAGGAGGTGAGATCTCACCTCCTGCCCCCTGGAGAGGCAGTCGCCGCTGGAGAGGGTGGTCCGAGGGACAGGTCTCCATGAAACCAGCCTTGCCCCTTGGCAGCTGTGCAGCGGCCGTGCGTGCTTGCAGTCCCTGAGGGCCCAGGAGCAGGACGGCTCGGCCCAGTGCCAGCGAGTGGGGCTGGCAGGTGTTGGGGCCGTGGCTGCCCATATCTGAGGGTGAACGTGCCTTTCCTCTCCTGGGCCAGACCCTCCTGCCTTTTTCCCCAAAACCAGGTATTCCTGATGTGGTCTGTGTTTCTGATACCTCAGAAACTCTTGCTTTACAGTAGCCTTATTCTTGGCAAAAATAGACCAGCTGCCCAGGGATGAGAAATGTACTAAACCTTGTAATTTAGTTACCTTGGTAACATCTGTAAGGAACTACCAGCACAAAACCACTATTTTTTCCTTGATCTCTTTTATGGCAATACATATTTATGTTTACTTGGCAAAAGTGTGATTTATAGCCATTGTAGCCATTCTCCTGAACATTATCCTGGGAGACAATAGTTCCCGTTTCTAACAAGCAAGGTTAAATGACTGTAAAAGCAGGTTTTTGACTTTATAGTACAAACTGAGATTTACCATCAAGTAACTAAGCATTTGCTAAGGAAAGCCAAAATCGTGTAAATACTGTATTATTATTTCAAAGTATTATAATGCTTGATCACATTTACTCCACATAGGATTTTTTTCAATGGTTGTGTTTTAGAGCAAGTATAAAAGATATATTTTTTTTCCTTTTGCATTGTAACATTCTCACACACGTGTAAATTTTAGTTGTCAACGATTCATTGTACAGGGAAAAAAAAAAGAAATAAAAGCATCATTGCTTATGACTACAAGCCAAAACTAACAGCCTTGCTTTGGACTTGGTTGTTCCTGGATCTGGCTCTAGGCACAGCTCTCTTCCTACTCCATCATTCCCATTTAGCCATCTAAGTCCTGGCAGTGGCTCCTCTGCACTGCGCAACCTGGGACACTTGGGTGCCGGCACACAGAAGTTTACTAGGGATCAGACTTGTGTGCTGCAGGGTAGGCAGTGCCCCCAGCTTTTAGGTGGCTCTTTGCATCCTCTGGCGACTCACTTGTTTCTCTCTTTGCTCCCAACAGCAGGGAATTTTCTGAGCCCTTCAAAGGGAGGCACATCCCTCACCCGGTGACCGATTCAGTAATTGATTTAATCAATTTGAAACTAACTGTCACTTGTTAAACTGATAATCAAGAAGCCTATTCTCTGTTAACAGTCCTAAATATGAATCAGTGGTAACCAGTGTTTCTCTCTTAAATAAAGAAATCTGGATTTCTTTTTTTTTTTTTTTTTCATTTCAGAGCTTTTAAAATGAGTTGTAAATATGGCTGTTTTCTTTAAAAAGTTAAAGACTCCATATTAGAATGCCATTTTCTAGTTCAGAATAATAAAATCGCATATTTATTTCTGAAACTGCATGTAGAATTTTAACCTTTTTAATGTGTTATGCCCTGTAAGACGTAAGTCTCGGGGCATGATAGAAAGTTTATTAAGGACAAATCCTGCTCACCTTATTAATTTATGTAGCTGAAATCCTCAAGTAGCCCCAGGTTTTTAAATCAGAACATTTCCATTGCTCTGTTGCAAGTTGGGTTGGTGCACACATTTAAAAGTCTTATTCTAGGATTGTTATGTCTTTTATTGTATATACATTTGTATTTGTAAGAGGTAATGTAAAAGCGGTACATACCAAAACATAGCTTTATTTTTTATTGCATCCATTAATTATAAAGCATTTTGTAAACCAAAAAAATGTTCCTTAAATAAAAGCATTTAAATTATGATTTTTATTATGCATTTTCATGAAACTGGATTTTTTTTTACAGGTTTACAAAACAAGGCAATTAAATATGTTCAGAATGTGTGCTCAGTCCTGTATACTTTATGACATAAAAGTGTTGGATGAGTACAGCAAGCAAGCCACTGATGTGTGATGGCTTGTCTGTGGCTCTCTAAGTACTTAATTGAAGTAGATCATTACCCATTTATACAGTATTTTCTTCACGTTTTAAATTCTTATCTGAGGGTGGTGAATAGTTGTTTTTTACTGTATTAATGATGGAGAGTCAACAATTTGATTAATCATGTAGTTTCAAGCATGAGTATTTCTGAGCACATCCTTCAAAGAATGTGTCCTGTTGTTTTTTTAAACTCCACGTCTATCTAAATGTGTTTGTTTCTTTTCCATGGGAGTTGTTTAGAAGGGCCTGAAAGCAAATGGTTATATTAAGGTCCATCTCATCCCATATCTCCAGTTCCAATCTGTACACATTTCTGGCTGCTAACCCCCCAGTTTTGTTTCCAGCTTCACTGTCTGCGAAAAGCATGGGCTTGTAGAGCTCTGGGCAGGTGTTTGTACCATTAGCAAAACCATGTAAGTCACCAAAAAAGAGGTGCTTTAAAGAACAAGAAGTAAGCAAATTGAGGGCCAAATTCTGCTGCCATTTAATCCATTGAAGGATGAATTGTTTTACTAGATAGCCTCTTGGCCAAAAGATTGTTTAGAAGTAAAGAAGGGCTGAGTAGTAGCATAGGTGGCAAATTCCAGTGCTGACAAACACAGGATGCACAAACCCATAAGCATGTGAAGACACATGTTAATCATACATTTCAGCTGTAAAATCTTAGGGGTAGCAACAACACATCCAGAGTTTTCAGATGTAACTTTCAGGTTGATAATTTAATCCTTTATTGAGCAGTATTTTAAAATATATTATGACACACAATGAGTGAGCACCTTAACAAAATGAAGAGAGGATCTTTGTTTCTGGAGTCAACTTTTCCAGTATAATCTCTACTGCCAGCAGTGAATACATCAGATGTATTTACATCTTATCTGTGCAAGAGGATGTTTATGGATATGACATATGCTGCTTTGCACCCTTAAAACCTGAGAACTAGATTCTCTCTCAGTGCCATGTGCATCTCTGTTGATTTCAGAAATATGCAATACTGCAATAATGAGCATGGTATAAGAATCTAAATAGATTCATAGACATATGGACAGACAGATGGATTAAGGCAGACTTTGTCACTTTGTCCCTAGAAATCCTTTGTGATACTTATCTTTTGTGTACACAGTGACACTAAGGTGTCAGCCCAGATCATTTCCCTTAACTTGGTAATATTTTATGGATTTACATAAAGTTGTTACTTGAAAACATGGAGCTCTGTGTGTGTACATTTTGCAGAAATGTACTGGTGCTAGTAATATAAACCATTTTAATTCTATTTTGAAAAACATTGTGAAGGTATAAATTATGTTTGAACTGGACAGAGATGATGATGTGGCATGTGACTGAAAATATATATTTTTTAATAGATGATTCAGCCGCAGAGAGTTTTAATGGCAATGAGACCGTGGGACACAGTTCCAATGCTTCAGGGGGAACACACTGCAGGGAGATGGCAGAAACCAACAGTAATGGCAAAACAAATCTGGAGCAGGATGAGCAGCCTCTGAACCTGAGTGACAGTCCCCTCTCTGCTCAGCTGACTTCAGAATACAGACTAGATGATCACAGCAGTAATGGAAAGAACAAATACAAGACTCTCCTAATTTCTGATCTCAAGATGGAACGGGAGGCAAGAGAAAATGGAAGCAAGGTAAGATGCTTCCACATGCTCCAGATATGAAGTGTGTAGCTTAGAAAAGGAAAAGATTTGTGAGGCCAAACCGAAGGTTATTCCCAGCTAAGCGCTTAATGCAATGTGTCTAATGTTTGTCACATCATTACTCAAATGCTATACATAGATTTGTATGCTCTGTTACACATATATGATGCATATGTACATTAAATGTATGTGGATGTACATGGGTGAATGCATATATATAGGCATATATATTGTGCTGACACACCGACAAAGACCAGTGCAGTTCTCCATCTGGCATGAATTTTATCAGTCCATTTATTGAGAACTGTCTACATTACCCATTTGAAATATATATATAATGTATATAATGTAATACATATATATATGTATATATACTGGGATACATATATCTATGTATATTTATAGATGACCATCTCATTACATGTATTATGTATCTGTAGAATGAATCCGTATGAATGTTAAGTGTGTATGCCCAAGCAAATTACTACATGTGAATTATCATCATCTGAAAGGAACTGATTTGGTTCCTTCCTGATTGTTTGTGTTATGCAGGCACCTAACCTGAATTAAAACTGACAAGTTTGCTTTAAGAAGCTGTAGTCCCCTGAGGGCTTTTCTCTGTAGTTTCCATTATGTGAGTAAGGAGAAGCGACGGTGGTTATATTGTAGATAAAGACAGATCCTACGGATTAGATTGCTAGCTTTCTAGGAAGGTGTTTGTCAAGAGGGCATACTGTAGGGAGGGTGAAGAAATGGCCTGTATCGTAGAATTTATCCATTGATCTTATTGGTGACAAGTCCCTGTTTTTTGTCTGATAACTCCCAACTGGATTACCACTTTTACAGCAGCAATAATCGGATGTTAGTACTGGATCCGAATACTATTAATGCTAGTCACTCGCTTTCAGTAGCTCACTACAAAATAACCTGACAGCATACTTTGAATGGCCACATTTTTTGCAGGGCTTTGAAATGGGAGTGATACGGAAAATCACTTTTTCTAGGTATATCCAGAAAGGGATTGTACATGACTGATGTCTAGAGAACAACTTTTATTTATGGTAAAGTTTTAAATCCTGTCTTCATTGCCTGTGGAGTAAAAAATAAAAACTTGAAAAGTTTTTTTAAGTCAAGTGTCTGGTTTTGATGGGTAGAATAAAGGGAGACCAAATGGGAGATTGTTAGTCTTTCTCTTTCTTGGCCATTCCAGTTTAGCAAATCATTTATCAGCAGTCCTGGCTAACCGGGGAGGTCCCAGTTGACTGGAAGTTAGCAAATGTGACGCCCATCTACAAGAAGGGCTGGAAGGAGGGTCTGCGGAACTAGAGCACTGTCAGTCTGACCTCGGTGCTAGGGAAGGTTATGGAGCAGATCAGCTTGAGTGCCATCACGTGGCATGTATAGGACAACCAGGTGATCAGGCCCAGTCAGCATAGATATATGAAGGGCAGGTCCTGCTTGACTAACCTGATCTCCTTCTATGACAAGGTGACCGGCTTAGTGGATGAGGGAAAGGCTGTGGATGTTGTCTACCTAGGCTTTAGTAAAGCCTTTGACACCATTTCCAGCAGCATTCTCCTGGAGAAACTGGCTGTTCCTGCCTTGGATGGGTGTACTCTTCGCTGGCTAAAAAACTGGCTGGACGGCCGGGCCCAAAGAGTTGTGGTGAATGGAGTTCAATCCAGTTAGCGGCCGGTCAGAAGTGGTGTTCTCCAGGGCTCAGTACTGGGGCCGGTTCTGTTTTAGTATCTTTATGAATGATCTGGATGAGGGGATCGAGTGCACCCTCAGTAAGTTTGCAGATGACACCAAGTTGGGCGGCAGTGTTGATCTGCTCGAGGGTAGGAAGGCTCTGCAGAGGGACCTGGACAGGCTGGATC